AGGAAAATCACAAGTTCCAGTCCAACATGAAGTATGACGATAAGGACAGGCAGAATAGCCGGGCCCTAAAAAAGAGTGGGTGTCTACCAATTAAAAAGAGAACGCTTACGCCCAGTTTATAAAGGCAACAGAAGGTCTAGCTTAAGGAAGGTTGCATCCTGCAGCTTTCTCAAGGCAGTTACCTATTCAAATAGCCATCTTCCTACATTCCTATTTACACCTACACAACACACATACCATATAACAGGGGAGAAAGTCAGCATACTAAAGAGGCAACTCAATATGCTCAAATCTACTTTGAGTTTATAGGAAATGAGACTGCACAGGTGCTTTTTTCTTTTTTTTAAGGCAAGCATTATATTCAAACAGCTTTGTTTGGATGCAATCCCTTCCTCTGCAGTGTTCTCAGTCTAAATACTGCACCACTGAGCTCATTCACAGGAGCCAAAAAGCAGGCTCATCAAGGAGAAATCCCCAACCAGCTTTTGCTACCAAATTGTAAACACAGAGCAAAAAAACAGATGTCTCTATAATGTCCTTGCCAGAGGTATCTTCCTAATCCGGCAGGAACCCACCCACAACCCTGACTACCAGAGTTCAAAGAAATACTCGATTTGCTCGATTTCATCTTTTCCCTTGAGTAGATTAGGCAGAGTCTTTTGTATATATTTCCTTTTCTACAACCCAAACCCTAATTCTATGGTGTGTCATCTTACAAATAATTTTAACCCCTTCTTTCTTTGACATGAGGACACAGGTACGCATTATCCAATTTTTATTGAGGTGACATTGCAGCCACTCAGCTCAACAGGCAGGGCATCACCTTTACCCTCTATCCCATAACCTAAAGCACTCATTTCATCTCCAGCTGCAGTTCTCTCTCTCTCTCCACCCTCCCACATTTTCCTACAGTGACAGTCAGAAAACCAGTACTGCACAGAGAGATTCCCTAACCATTCATGCTGCCATCTTGTACCGAACATAGGCCTTTTCCAGCGCCCTAATTGAAACATCATGCAAAGTACCCACCTTATGAAAATTACTCCTCTGTCAAGGGTCATAAACTCAATTCCCACTCTGCACTAGAGCATGCAGCATCACAGTGTTTAAATTTGACAACTGCATCCTGCTCTGCACAGAACCACCATATGCTCCCCATGAAGCCACTTCACAATCCCCTTCACTCCTCTTCATCCTCCATCAGTCTCAGACTTTATACTGTCTATTTCTTCCACAACTAGGGAGCCCACTGAACTAATCAGCCAACTGTTTTGCCTTATTCATGTGAAATACAGCACCTCATCCCATCCCTCATCTCACTTATCATCATGAAGTCTACCCCAGGGCCCATCTGTCACCACTCTCTTGTCCTAAAGGAAGAAGGTAAAAATTGTATTTAAACAACCACTTCCTTTTTTATCTCACTTTATTCAAACTCACACCCTCCCTCTCCAGTTCCCCCAAGAACTCACTTCCTGCTCTATTGGCATGTGCGTGGGTGGAATGGGAAATGCTGTTCCCGCCCATGTTCATCATCTCCCCCTTTAGATCCCCTTCCCCCACCTGATGTGCTGCCCCCACTTCCTACTGGGTTGGGAAGGAGTAGAGATTTACATACCAAAATCCGGCTGCCATCTGTCATCTCAGAGGCCCTCATTCTATGTCGCATCAAACCCCCTCCCCTCCAGCCCATTATCAACTCTCCCCATACCCCTCAACTCTACCAAGATAAGCTAAGAAACACAAAGCCCTGACAAGGATAAGTCTTTAAGCACTGCATTATAAATATGACTTTCTGCCAGAAGGGCCAGGATTCCCCCCTTCACTGTTATCTATGGTAAACAGTGAATCTTTGCCTAACTCTTTGAGCTCTGGAGAGTAAGAACTGATGTACTATTTACTACTTTATCCTGCTCTCTCTTACTCCTGCCCCCATCCCAAATTTTGTAATTGCCCGATAGTGGCATATCTTCCCCTCCCCCTTATTTATCCTCTTCCCCAATTGCAGATTTCCTCATCTCTCTCCCCAGAAATCCTTATTTATTAATCTGAATATCCAATTCCTACTCTGCAAACATACTTCTGAATATCAGGTACTGGGATAGACAATGGGTTGAAGTTATCCAGAAGCATCTGGTGGCTCAGTCTTAAGACAGAAATAGACTAAGTGAACTTCTGGCAATCTTTGTGACTGTACCTTTATTTCAATGTCCTTTTCTTTCTTTACCACCCCCTCTCTTTCTGCTCCATTCCAAGCTGGCCTCCCTACTCTATTTGTGTACTCCTTTCCAGCATATTTCAGTCCTCTCCCTCCCCCCATGCATTCCTAACAGTCTCTATTCCCCCCCCCTTTTCATTCATCCCCATGTCCCTACTGCCCTGCTCTCCACCCCCCACTTCTCCTCTCCTACACTACAATCTTTCATCCGACTTATTTCTCTCTTCCCCAATTCCTACTACCCTTCCAGTATCTTCACTTCCTCTGTCATCCTCCATCCATTTTCTCCTCCCCTTCTTACTCAGTGTTTCCCTTTCTTCACTTCCTCATCTCCACATCCCTCTACTCCCATTGTTATTCAGCCCTTCAGTTTTCATTCCATTCCCCAGCTGTATATTTCTATCCCTCTTCCTTCCATCCATCTCTCTTCTTCTCTCATTTCTCCTCCACTGAATTTCACCTTGAGCCCTTCTCCCCCTGCAAAAAAGCTTCCAAATGTCTGGGACAGATGGGGGCAGGGGCAAAAGGAAGGTTAATATTCTTACATCATCATTCTCACCACCACCACCTAAACCCAATCAATGCTAATTTGCTAAACAGTCTCAGGCCTATCAGAGGAAAGGCAGAGTAGGAAGCTAAGTAAAGAAAGAAATCTACTATCCAAACCCCCTCCAAAGACTCCTGAGAGCTAGATCCATTGGTCAGGGGGGCAAGAGGCCCTCTCTACTACTTTCACTATAAATGTACCAAAGGAAAGGTTAACTATATCAAAGTCCCAATCCTATGCACTTACCCAAGAATAAGCCCATAACATACAGCAGGACTTAGCTCTGAGTAAACGTGCACAGAATTGTGCTTCTAATAATACAGATGAAATTAACCTTCCGGACGAACTACAATTGTTTAGGAAGGCCAAAGGAGCTATTTCTTCCTAAACTCCATCCATCCAGCTGACATTTTACTAGAACTGCAAGCAAACATCCCTTTAAAAAGAACCTTTGAGAGTTAAAACCCCATTTATTTTATGTGGCCTTCTCTTTAACAAGAGAGAGAGCGAGCTATTTTAAGATGGATAGGTTTTCTATGAGTACAGGAACTTTATGATACTGCTTTAAGTAGCCTATATTTTTAAATGATTGTTAATGTTGCTGCTTTATGTTTTTGAAGTTCTGTTGAGTTTTCATACTACAGAAAATGCCATAAGTGGAGCTTATGAGTGATGTGGAACCCATGTGGTCCTCTAGATACTGTTGGATTCCAACTTCCATCAGTCCCAGCCAACATGGCCAGAGTTTAGGGATGACTATGGGAGCTGAAATTCCACCACATCTGGAAGGGCATAGATTTTCCATCTCTGATCTACAGGAAATGTACCCATACAATCATTTCCAATCATACAAAAAGTAAATGAGTGAGCCAATAGACATAAAAGGGAAATGCATTTTTTTCTAATACAAAGTATAACTAAATCATAAAATGGAAATGTAAAAGGATGGATATTAGCCAACCTTCTGCCCTCCAGATGTTGCTGGACTCCACCTCCCAGCAGCCAGCAAGCCTAATAGTCAGGGATCCTGATAGCTGTGGTCTAGCTACAAATTACCCATCTCTCTGTCAGAAATACAGTAAAATATTGTATGCAGCACTGGTCATACCCATAGCAGAATCATTGAAATTAATGGACATGATTAACTAGCATCCATAAAGAAACAACCAACAGCTGCTTCAGATGTCTTGTGAAGACTTGCCAGAGCTTTCCAATGAAACTAGCCTCTGTTTTAGGTGTCTAGTTTTGTTTCTGATTAAATGATGAAAAGTAGTGGGGGTTTTAAAGACTGTTATGCCTCTTAAATTATTCTAGGCAATTTCTAAATTCTTCTAAATAACCAAAGCTTAGATCCATTAATCTTGGTGGGTCTACTCTTAAGACTTAGCTGGAATATAGCCCAAATATCTCCACTAACACCACACTCTCTCCCATATGTGCCCAGTTTCCTCAGGTGCCACAAGTGCTCCCCATAAGAAAGACTGCTTAGGACACTCTCCCCCACCCCAAATCAAGAGTCCTATTCCAACCAACTTCCCACAATCCTCATGTCCCAACCATCCCCCATAATCCACGTGTCATCCCCCCTCTCACACACAACACTTACAGATTCAGGTGGATAGCCGTGTTGATCTGTCATAGTCATAATAAATAACATGAAAGATGAAAAAATATTTTTTAATAATTCCAGTGGCACCTTAAGGATCAACTAAATATAAGTTTTCAAGGTATGAGCTTTGGTGTGTAAATTCTGAAGAAGTGTGTATTACACACAAAAGCTCATACCTTGAAAGCTTCTATATACCGGTAGTTGATCTTTAAGGTGCCACTGGAATTATTAAAAAATATTTTTTTCATCTTGTTAATTATTATAATACTTACTGGTCATCCCCCACACCCCAACCACATACATGTCCCACTGATTGAATAATCCACTCCCACACAAGCACAGACCATTCCCACACACATCATTCCCATACATACAGACACAATTAACGTGTTATCCCCCCCACAAACCATTAACATGTCCCACTCACCCCATAATCCACGCGTCATTTCCATACACGCAAACAGACCATTCACGTGCCGCAGCTACCCCATGATTCACGTGTCAACCCCATACACACAAGCATTGCCAATTCGCGAGTCGGGGTCCTCTCCGGCCCCGCCCCACCCCCCAATATCCACGTGTCACTCCCCCCCCCCAGCCCATTCCCGTGGCGGCCTTCCACCCACCTCCTCTTGTAGTCGTCCCTCTCCCGCTTGACTTTGGCCAGGACGTTGTAGAGGGCGCGGATCTCGGGCGTGATGGTGTCGATCTGGACGCCGACGCCGTCCGGGTGCACCCAGGAGACGCCGGGCCCTTGCAGGGTCTCCAGGCCGCCTCCGCCCGTCCGCCTCACCTGCGTGTAGCTCCAGATGGTGCCGGGCAGTCGGCTGTAGTGCTGCTGCGAGGAGGAGGAGGAGGAGGAGTGGTGCGACGGCGGGTGCGAGTGCGAGTGAGGCAGCTGCGAGGCGGGAGCCGATGCCGGCGGGAACGAGGAGAACGAAGCCGACGACGGAGGCGGCGGGTGAGGAGGAGGAGGAGGCCCGGCCGCCGCCGCCGCCGCCGGCACGTACGGGGGCATGGAGGGCGGCACGGGGTCCGTCTGCACGGCTTGGTGCCTCGGGAAGCGCTTGTAGTGGAGGCGCCGCTCGCGCTCGCTCAGCTGCTGCGCCTGCAGCTGCTTCTCCAGCAGCCGGTTCCGCCGCTCCAGCTCGTGGACCTTGGCCAGGAAGCAGCGGAAGCGCACGTTGAGCCCCTTCAGGAGGTGGATGTTGGAGCCCAGGTCGTTCCGCAGCGCCGCCGTCACCGGCGGGGCCCCGCCGACGCCGTCGTCCATCTCGCCTCCGACCCCCGACGAGGAGGCCGGCCCCGCCGACGCCGGGAAAGCCCGCGCCGCCATCTCGCCGAACAGCATCGAGTTGAGCATCATTTTAAGCGGCGTCGCCCTCCCTTTATCCTTCACTGAGGTAAAAAAATGTTCCTTTTAAATATCTATATCTATTCCTCTTACCAGACGGGACGTCGCCTTCCCTGATATTTTTAATAGGCAAATGAAAAAAAATAGAAGTTATTTCATTCTTATCGTTTGAATTATTCGGCCGTTGGGATCCGGCCGTTGGAGCGGTAACGGCCGCCGCCGCCGCCGCCGTGGAATTCAAACGCCCGAAGGTTCGAAACGGCCATCCTCGCAGCTTCCTCCTCGCGCCGAGGTGAAGATGGACTCGAGGGCCGGGAGGGGGGAGGGGGAAAGACGAAGAGGAAGATGCGCCGGCGCCGCCGATGCTGCTGCCGCCTCTGCAGTGCTCGCCGGCTAACTAACCCAAAAGGCGGCCACTGAGCGGCTCGGGGTTGGCTGGTGGGGTGGGGACTGCGCGGAGAAGGACCGCCCACTCCGCAACGCCTCCTTTTCTCCTCTAGGCCCTTTCCTATAGCTTGAGCCCGCCCCTTCTGTCTCTTAGCCACGCCCTCCTCTCCCCTTCTCTTTTCTATACGCCTGTCTTGGCCACGCCTCTCATTCTTTTATGCAGCATCCCTCCCTCTCAGCATTGAGCCGTGCCTCAGACTCCGCCCACTCCCTTCCCTCCGCGTTGCGGTCCTCCGGCGTGCTCCTGCTGGCCACGCCCCCTCCTTGCGCGGCTTGAGCTCAGGCGTTGCTCCACGTGGGCCACGCCCACGTCGTCGCCGGCGTCGCCCGCTCTAACCACGCCCACGGATCTGCGTGTGTTGAACACGTGCTCCGTGCGGTGGGTTTCTACGTTGAGTTAAAAGGGGGTCAGGTTGGTCCGGGATTCACATCGTGGCTGCTCAGTGGTGCTGAGGTGCCTGAACTCTGAGTATGCTCGGGGACATTTTTTGTTTTAACTGCGCATGGCCCCTTGACTCATTCTTCCCTCCAGTTCAAGGTAAGCCAAAATCACATATAGTTAAAGCCCATTGGGTTCAATGGCCAGCTGGATTGCCAAGGTCATTTTTCCTGGAACCTTGCCCTCTTTCCTCCCCCTTTTACATATATATATATATATATGCAGTTTGGTGTCCTCGGGTGTCTTCCCGTGTAAAAGTTGGGGTGTCTAGGCGACGTTTCGACGAGGTCTCACTCGTCATCTTCAGGCTGGTGCTTTCGGCTTCTTGTTACTGGAACAGAGCAGGATCTCAGTGTTTGAGTTCCTATAAATACTGTTGAGGGGGTGTGGTGTATAGCCTCCAATGTTCTGGGCAGAGAGGAAGTTCCCAGGCTAGTGTGCCTCTCTGCCCAGAACATTGGAGGCTATACACCACACCCCCTCAACAGTATTTATAGGAACTCAAACACTGAGATCCTGCTCTGTTCCAGTAACAAGAAGCCGAAAGCACCAGCCTGAAGATGACGAGTGAGACCTCGTCGAAACGTCGCCTAGACACCCCAACTTTTACATGGGAAGACACCCGAGGACACCAAAACCTGCATTCCTGTACCCGTGAAAATCTACGAAAGCAAATATATATATATATATATATATATATATATATATATATATTTACCCTGAGCATAAAGCTGAATGCACGCTAGTTAAATGTGCATAAGTTGCAGGCTTACTGTTCAGCTACACTCAGTATGGGGAGCCTGGGGTCTTCGACGTGGTGCTGAAGTGCAACTTCCATCATCCCTAGCCATTGGTCATGTTGCGGCTGGTGGGTGTTGTAGTCCATCAGCATTCCCCACACTGATCTACACCAGCACACTATATCAGGAGCTAGCGTGACCTTGAAGCTTGGTAAAGTTCTCTCTTTTAATGCAGCAGACTGCTAAGAGAGGTCATGCTGTGAAAGTGGCTTGCAGTCTTAGAATGCTTTGCAGTGTTGGAGGGGGCACTGGGGAGGTGAGGCGGAGCTCTCTTGGGTCACAAGCTGTACCCTGGAATCAGAATTTTTGAACTGGAAAAGAACTAAGAGCCTGCTGGATCAGGCCAGTGACCCATATAGTCCAGCATCCTGATCTCACATTGGCCAACTACAGTCATACCTCTTGCTACGTTAGGTTCAGGTTTCATTCTTTCAGGACACGTACTGCGGCGACCCGGAAGTAATGGAACGGGTTAATTCTGGGTTTTGCCGCTCACGCATGCGCAGGCGGTCAAAATGACGTCATGCGCAGAAGCGGCGAATCACGACCCGCGCAGACGCGGGTTGCGTTCTGCTCAGGTTGCGAATGGGGCTCCGGAACGGATCCCGTTTGCAACCAGAGGTACCACTGTAGATACCTTTGGGAAGCCTGCAAGCAGGGTATGAGCACAACAGCACTCTGCCCACCCTTGATTCCCAGCAACTGATATTCAAAGAAATGATGCCTCTTTGGGGCAGCTCCTGTGCTTTAGATGTTAACACTGATATGGGTTAGCTGAGTACTCTCTGAGTCAAATGCAGCCACCAGGTACGCATTGGGGCATGGTAGATGTTGTGAGAAGCCCCTGTTTTTGCATACCCAGGCAGGCAGCAAATCAAGGGTGCTGTTTTCCATTTTATCCCAAGCCCCTGCAAGTCACCAAACACGACCAGGTGACTGTGGGCAGGCTGCGCTTGAAGGCCTGGACTACAGTTAAAAAAGTGCTTTCATCAGAGTGGAGATTCACCACCCAGCCTCCAGGCTGTTCGTCACCACATTCGTTGCCCACCTCTCCTCTCTCCCTCCAGCTGCACAGAAGGAGCATTGTGTTCAAATGGAGAGGCTGCCTTTCTTTGCTGGCTTCACCAAAGCCTCCCGCAGCCGCCACTGCTGACGTACTAGGGAGCTGGACAACTTGGGCATTGTGAAGTTCACACGGGACATTAAGAAGGGGGGCTCTGAAGAAGGCACTTGTTTTGCTTCTGCTTAGAAGCACATCAAAGCTTGTATGGTTCACTGCAGAGGCACTGGCAGAGTTTATCTGACCATTAACAGGCTTTAATTCTAATTAAAATCCACACGGTTCATTTTTCCTGCAGCAAACACACAAGTATGTTTCCTCACCAACGTTATTTGGTTGCAGCTCCTGTCATAATAGCCTCATTTGCCTCAATTTCTATGGAGTTAATAAATGCCAATACAATACAGTGGAAAACACCACGGCAATCCTTAATTCTTAGGGAAGAGGCCATCCCAGCAGCATGAACTTGTCAGTCAACCTTTTGCTTCTCATCTAGGCACTGTAACAGCCCCTGCGCCATCTGCAGCCATTGGTTGAGTGTCTCTGATGCCATGGGATGCTCAGAAATGCCCATTTGGTGAAGATGCAACCAATGACAAGCAGCGTACAGAAGTAGGAAAAGTGGAAGATCAGTTTGAGCGAAAGAAAAGAAAAACGAAGCAGGATCTTGTTTCGGGAAGTTTTCTGTGCTATGGAAAGGCAAAAGAGCTTGGGGAAGTGGCAGGAGCTATTGGCCAGGAAGCCAAGAGAAATTGAAGCACAGGTGACTTTCATGCTAGGCCCCATTTCCACATTCCTTTAAGGGTTCGCCATCTCACACTAACGAAGTCTGTGATCTTCCATTTGAACTTGGGGCCTTATTTTGGTCATCTGGTTTGAAGAAGCAGAGCATGAATTGTCTGGGAGGCATTTGGGGTTTGGCTACTTTAAGGCGTAGCACTTTCTTTCAGGTGGAGAGGCAGTGTGTGCCTTGTGCGTTCTCAGCATACCTCAGGCAAGGAAGCTTCCATCATTGTTGTTCTGTCTGCTTGCTGAAATAATTGCACTGGGTGGGTGTGTTAATCCAGATGAGAGAAAGAGGTATTACATAGAGGCGTATGTTCTTCCTGTATGGAGAAATTAGGGTGCCCTGTTTGCTCCAGCAATGCCGTGTTTTGTGATTTGACAGTAGGCTGGGGGCCAGGGTGGGGGCAGTATCCTTCTTGTGCACTGAACTGCTGGCAGTTAAATGCGAGGATTTAACATGTGACCTTCCATCCTAGAGTTGCCTTTAGAGAACTTCTGGAAAGAGTTAAAGAATTAAAAGTTCTTGGGAAACCCAAATCACCCGCCCAGAGAACAGGCCACCAGTTGCATCTCTGCATGATGTCTCAATCCAGTCAGCCACTGTGGAAGGAGGTAGTTTTGACCACATATCTGTGTTGGATGCAATTGTTTTATCCATCAAACACCCAGACAGGCTAGAGTCATCTGCCCTCAAAGGAGGCTGCCTGCTACATCTCAGCATGAGGAAAGTTAATCCCAGACAATGACAAGAGAAGCAAATGCATAGGCTGCCAAAATCCTTCAAACAGGTTTGAAGGCTGAGGCCTGGCTTTTTTGTCTCCATCTCCCATCTATGAGTCCTTTTTATGTGAAAAAGTACAGAATCCAAATGGATCAAGATTGCCTCAGCCAAGCTCTCAGTTGGTAGGTTCAATTCAAAAGGATGACACAGAGTAGGAGGAGACAATAGAGACCTTTCATCTGGTTAGCATTTTAAGCCACTGCCTAATTGCATTATGGTCTCATTTCATCCCCTGACGAAGTGATTGAATTTCAATTAATAACTCTCGGAAACAATTCCTTCCACTGAAGTCCGAGTGACTTTGGAGAAACTAAAAGCTTTGTCTTGCAAAAGGATCCATCCGGTCGTAGATCAGATGTGCTGTTGTTGAGCTTATAGAGGTTAGAAGGGACTTTTTCAGTCTTTTACTTCTATGGAGTTGCTGCCTCATGGACTGCCCCCATAATTACTCAGGATGTCCCTAAAGCAATTCCATTATACTTTCGTGGCTGAGAACTGCTGATTCTCACCAATCACAGATAGTAATAATGATGTCCCCCATTGTTATCTTTTCCTTCCTGGTTTTCAAGGACTAAGTAACCCTCAAGTTCAGGCAGTAAACTCTCTAATTAAGAAACAAAACAGGCTGATTCCATTCACTGTGCCCACAAAGACTTGGTAAAATACCAAGAGACTGACTTCCAAACTCCAACTGTAGGAGGTATGATCTTTAACATATATTTGATGGGTGTTAATT